GTTCAGTGCTAGCAGGAGGAGCTTAGACTGCAGAGAAAGGTTAAACATGTGGCTGTTCACTGAACATATTTTCACTTCAGACTTGGCCCCGCTACACAATATGCTCAATACTTATTATGAAAACACTGTTGTGCACCATAGAACAAAATCAATCAAGATAAGCAGAATATGCATCTTGTTGGTACATTATTACATGTTATTTTTATTATGTAAAAATAGGTCTAGATTATCTTCAATTTTGAGCTAAATAACCTTTTGACCCAAATAATCTTTTCCTCATATCAAAATGGAAATCTATTAAAAATAACCTATCCTTTACAAACTGTAGAAATCTATGTAGCAAATGCAAATCTGCCTCTTTCAGCTCTCAATCTTCACAATTTCTAAAAATGGTGGGTATACTGAAGTGTTCTTCAGCAAGACTGTAACCTAATCTACTATTTATAAATCAACCTAAATTAACGTATTCCTTCTTCCTCCCTCCCACCTCATGATATGTTTATAATTAAAAATTCAAGCTTGTCATACATTATAATTTTGTTTTGGATTAAAATTGTGAACATTTCAGGTTATACTCAAGACAGCCATTCCTTACTTTCCTAACTGACTTCAGTGCTCATCCAGACACTACTCAGAGTTCAAGGTGCTCTGTATCATTTCTCACTATCTCTATTGCTTCTGACAGACATTACATTGACCTGGAGGAATGGTTCTGCACATTGTTCAGTAAATCTTTTGAGGCAGCTGGGTCACCAATTCATAATAAGCACTGCTTAGATGCAGCACTTTTCTCTCTATAAAATGGTCCCAATTTTTTTTTTCAATATATCACCTATACAACACCTTTTAGTTACAACCTGGGATGAGAAAATCAGAGTAAATTGTAATTAAAAGATGAACACCTGCATGCTTGAAAGTTTTCATAGTATCATTGGGCCAGTTCTTGTCATATTTTATATACAAAACAAGTGTGGGTCTGGTCAGTCCTAAGCTGATATTCTAGGCTTTTTCCACCACCACTATACTGGTAAAAGCCACTAGTAATGTTTATATACAGTGCATTATTTTATATCTTGATGCCTTGCCTTGGTGGTCTAGTGTTATTGCTAGATAATGTTATAAAGGAAATCTTAGTATATTTCCTATTCATTATTTCTCATTTTCTCACACTTCAATGACTAACAGGAATAAAAACACCAGCTAGTAGTTGAACAGGCATGGGCTGTTCTTCTGACAGTTCTTATAAGATAAACAAAGGTATCCCTCTTTTGTACTACAGTTTGTCAATGAGGAAAAAATCAAGACTTATACAACTTGCAAACTTCTAAAGCCTTCTCTCTCCAGTTGTACTTTTTTACCACACTTCGCATTTTTTTGTCTTTAAGACAGTGAGGCTGCACAAAAATTAAAGGTTTTCAAAGTCGAGGTTGCCATACTAATCTAAACGGTACCCCACCATTGCCGAATCCAAGCACCTTTGTGTGGAGGTATTACAAGCGAGTACTTTATTACATTAGCAAACAGTGGGAGCATCTACACTTGCAATTAATGTAAAGCACTAAATTCTGGTGCATATTTTGATGGAGTTTATTGCTCCCAGGCACCCCGTCTATATATGTGCCCAGAACCGCAGCACATTGTGCTGGGTTGGAACAGCCCCAGCTGGCGAAGGGCCCAGGTCATCCTGACAGCCCAGGGCTGCTCTGATTCAGCTTGATGTGTTGTGGAGAGGCTTGCTGGGTCACAAGTGTGCTCCAGTGTGGGGCTAGCTAGCAGGCAGCTTGCACACTGAAGCACCCTTGTGCCCCAGCCAATCTTGTCAGTGTCTATAGATACACTGCTGGGCAGTAAATAACACTGCTGCAGGATAGTACTTGTATTTACACATACTAACTTACAGAAGCATTTATTAGTTTACTACGACCTAATAGGGCTACACATGTACACATGGAGATTTTACTGTGGAGCTAATTAGGCAGCTCTGCATTAAACATTCTGTGTAGATGCATCCGCTGATGTGCAATAAGAGATATGGCCCAGAAAAGAGATCACAATGTTCATGTTAGTGTAGTGTGCAGGGGTAATAAAAATAATAAAATAAACACACAGCCAAATCAGCAGGAATCCTGGTTTTCCCTGATTAAAAAAAAAAATTGCAAATTCTGTGATAAACCCCCCAAAATCTGTTATTTAAATGAAAGCTCCCCCCCCCCGACCCTCTGGCCCTACTGATTAGCTCCCCATGACATTATGTTTAATTTTATTGTGTGACAGTTAGTTCGGGTGCTGAATACTATACTTCTGTAACAGCTTTGTAGGGAATGTTGCTGACTGTGCCTGAAGAGAAAAAGTAAGGCTCTGAGAGAGCTGGGGAAGAAAGGGTCCTTCCCAGGGTGGAGACAAAGAGGGAGATAAAAGAATAGTCCCAGGGAGGACAGAGTGGAGTCCAAAGAAGGACGAAGGAGACTACTGTGGCACAATAAAGACTATTTGATGCAGAGCAGTCTGCAGTGCTGTTTGGGACACCAGGACTCTGACCCCTCTGCCCTCTTTGAAGAAGAAAACACCCCCTTTTTGGGACCTGGCCAAAAAGAAGGAGTTCTCTGAGGCAGGGAATTAGGGTCAGATCAGATCACTAGGGAAGTCGGGGACAAATTGAAGCCAGGTCTCAAGCCAGTAGCTTTCCTTGAGAAGCCATGCCAGGGCTGGCTTCAAAGGGTCCTCCAGGAGACGGAGACCAAATAAGGTTGCTTCTTGGGGAGTTCCAAGGCAGAGCTTCCCCTCAAAAGTGGCTTGATTTGTGACAGGCAGTCTCAGAACTTCAGAACTTAATGGTTATTAAGTTTTTTGTAATGACTTTCCTATTGTAGAGGGATAAAGATTTCTGACAGCAATATCTTTTATTGGACCAACTACACATTTAGGATGTTAGACAAGCTTTCTAGTGCAGTCTTCCTCAAATTATTCCTACTGTAATAATTCGTAATATCTTTCCTCTTCAAAAGAAGAAGTTAGAAAGGGAGAAAATGCCAAAGGAATTTTGTTGAAAACAATTCAGGAACGGAGAGGGAAAGGGACATGCAGAGAGAAAGTGATATCCATTTAAAGCATTGGTATCTTACAAAGTTTTGCATTTTTCATGTCTGTGTCACAAACAGTACTGCTAGAGGGTTGAAGGACACAGAACAATACATCTAGGTCAAAACATTTAGGCAGACACTTAAGGATTATAAGTAGTCCCTTTGAAATCACTGGCAAAATTCCCAGTGAGTTCAATATGGCCAGAGTGCCACAGAATTGGAAGCAATCAAATTGATTTCAATGGGACTAGTCACACACTTAAGGAGTTGAGTACAGGGGCCATGCTTTTGTATATCTTGAAAAAACCTACTGTGTTGAATATATAAAAGAGGAAACAACCTTCAAAGGGTGAAATGGGAATCTTGGCTTTGAACATACTGATTTTTTTGTAATTAAAATCTCATTTTCAATATTGAATTAACGTTTATTTACATCACTATCATTGCCTGGGTAAGGTTTCTTTGTCAGGGCACTCAGTAATAGCCCTAAACACATTTTTTAAAGCTAATTTATCTCCCAGAGGTATGTTTCATGTAAAATTGGTCTATCACTAGGGTAACCATATGTCCCGATTTGGTCAGGACAGTCTGGGATTTCGTAGGCTGATTCCAACCAGTTAGTGAAAATTAAAACAGGAGTCCTGAAATCACAGGGGCATGGGGCACAGTCTGACAGGAAGGCCAAATGCCACAGTGTGGGCAGGCAGGCTGAACTACTAAGATCTTTTATCTTACTAGTTGACAGACTATTTTGAAGAACTGCAATTGGCCATTTGAAAGAGAATACCAATAAATCCCTATTTAATTCATTAAATTAATCCTTTTTGTGATCTAAGCTATAACCTATTAATGCCCCTACACTAGTATGCTTTCCTGTATTTAATGCTATGTCAAACTGATAAACACATTCCAGAGATTAAATTATTTTCTCTTGGTGCACAATGAAAATGTTGCAATAAATCTTAAATTAATAACTTTCAATTGCTGTTTAGTAAGAACAGGATTTTGCAATATTGTTTAAAACAGTCAGACAGAACATTTCAGCAATTTTTAAATTGAAATTGATGTTTTCCAAAATCCTGGGTATAACTATGGGACAAAGTTATGAATAAGAACTTTAACATGGTTGTTCAATAACAATTACAATTCTACCATGTTTTAATCTATGATTTCAAAACAGCTATGAACAAGCACTCATCTTGCCAAATGGCATTAATCAGACATCATCATGGAGACCAGTCTTCAGCAGCAGCTAGGGTTTTAGTTAAGCAGGAAAGGGACAGTGAGTCAACTGAAGATTAGGGTCTGTCCCTGCTCTCTGCAGCAATGACTCTGGGGGAAAAATTCTTCACAATGCTTTTCAAAAACAAGATGTGTATTATATTTGGGGGGGGTGTTATATGCAAGAAAACATAATAGTTACCACCATCCGTAACACTTCAGATGATTAACTGGAAGCCTGACAAGGAAGAAGAAATTCACTATCCTTTTAGTTTATTTTCTGTATGTGCATTTCACAGCAGTTTGTCTAAAGACAAGCCCAAAGTTGCCCTTGTACAAGCAGTTTCCCAACTCTAGTGCTCTCTCACAAGAGGACAAAAATATATATTTTTTGTTTTAAATTGTGAAAAGGGAAGGGGGAGCGTGAAATAATTTTTCAAATATTTTTAAAATAAATTGTAAAAACCACAAGCATTAACAGTTCCTCAGGGACATGTATACCTCCTGAAATTCCTTTTAACTCTTGCATATGAATCAACCACATTTCAAACTGATGGTGGCCCCCGCAGTGACATATTCAAATTACCTACTCCATAATACTGCTCATCTCCCATATAGCAATTGTATGGAATGCACAGTGTTAACTCTGGATGTGTAGTTAATGGACAATACATAGCTTTGGTATGATATGATACTCACCTCACAAGTGCAGGTAATCCTTCTAGGATGGGGAGCTTCCTGTTGCAACTGATATACTGAGAGAAGGCAGAAGTTAAATGCAGTTTAGTTTTCTATTTAATACAGAAAGATTTTAAGTCAGGCATTTTTAACAGAGTTAATTTCTTTTATTAAACCCCCCCCCAAAACAGAATAGCCAAGCTTGTAGCAAGAGTTTGTGCAGGGGGATATATGCTATGATATTTCAACTGATTAACAACAGGTCAGAAAAGATTCAGTAGCCAGCCAAACAAGGATCACCAGTCACTATTAGAATTAATTCAACTTATCCATTACTAGGTAATAACTCGGCAAGTTGGGAAATGCTTGACTCAGGAGAAAATAACAGAAGTTAAGATCAATATCAATTTCATTTTACAATAAATTAAATATATGTTGGTTTCAGAACACTTTTCTCAGCAAGAGGATTCACAGTCCAATCCTGCAAGGTGTTTGCCATCTCCCACATAGGTCCATTTGTTCCCTGGGGACAAATATGCTCAGCACTCTGCAGGAGGCATTCAAGACTTAGCAGAATCAGACCCTCTCTTTTCACGATTGTTCACTAATCTTTCTGAGCTAATAACAAAATGACATCTGAATATGTGAACTTTAATTAGAATTTAAGAGGGCCCACACTGGGTCCACACTGACCTATCTTAAAACGGTTATAAATGGTTGGGTTTTTTAAACCAAAATATATATTTTTATTGTTTTCTTTAAACTGAATCTTAACAATGCTAGAGCATTTTTAACTAAATTGTTAATGTAAAGGTATCAGTGTGTTGACACACTAATGTACTGTAAAGGACACACATTTAACTTCTACTCAAGTAGTTTGACTTGGCAAATCACCTTCAAACTAAGTCTGTTAACACTTGTTTTCTCTGTAGAGTACTCTGCACCTGACAACAGAGAAATAATCTCTTAAAATTACTTTAACTTTCAATCATTAATATGTGCAAATGACTCTGAAACATGTGCTGTCATTTCGTTCAGTTAACAAGCACATACATTAGTTGATCCAATGAGCTGTTTTCCCCTCACACCATGCTTGTCATTCACCCTCAACTTTTTTTTTTTTTTTGGTAACCATAAACTGCATTAAATGCCTGAAATCTATGAAGACCAGAATGGAAAAAATAGCAAAGTGATGAATGATAAGGCAATCAATAAGAGCAATCTGGAAAAATTCATACCCGTTGTTCTGAATTAAAAAAAAGCCTTTTTCCTTTACTGTACTCAAATCAAACTTTAGCACTTTTTTGCAAGTGATGAAAAACAGCAGAGTGGTACAGAATTAGCACACTTTAAAGCACAGCATGAACAGCTATATGCACCCAAGTAGAATTTCCTTAGTTTCTCCAACACAAATGGCACAATTACCACGTCCAAATCTAGGAACAATGGAGAATTCTCAAATTTTATATGAAAAGAGAAAATTTTAGATACAAAAATACAAGAGGTATCAGAATCTACATGCTTTGTTGTAGAGCTTCATTAAGGGCTTAATCTAATAATTTTTTGACATATATCAATGAATGCTGGAAAGATTTTCTGAAGAGGACTTCCTCCTCAAACACTGTGCTCCTTTTGTCTGGTTTGTTAAATTACAAAAAAAGTGGTTCTTTCCTGTGGCAGTGCACTTTTAGGTGTCTGCACTTTAAGGGCAGAGTCAGGTAGCTGCCCAATGCCTGAAGGCAGCAGCCATTTTAAGCAGCAGGTATATAAAGGCTGCAGTTTGCTGCTGCCAGCTCAGGTAGAAACACTGCTGCAGCAGAAACATGAGGAGGTAAGGGTAAGAGTGAATGGGAATGGCTAGGAGGTTCTTGGTTCTGGGCATGACCTAAAACTGCACCCTGCCAGGGATGGGTGGCCTGGTGGGGCTCCTGGTGGTGCAGGAGTCCTCAGAAAAAGCCATGTCAGTTACCAGGCCGGTAAAAGGCAGGTTGGGGTGCCTTAACCCCTAGCCCCCACAGTTCAGTAGGTACGAGGGTCAGGCACAGCTACAGCCACCTGAGCCCTAGGGGGTGGAAGACCCCAGGAGAGCAGTGGGGCCAGGCACAGCTGCAGCCACCTGAGCCAGCAGGGCAGAAAGACTCCAGAGGCCCCTGGTTGGGGATAGCTGCGTGGCCCTGGAGAAGGGGGGCCCACTGTGTAGTGTGAGAGGGAGGGCAGTTGGGAAGGGCAGGGATATAGGTGGCCCTGCACAGAGTAGGGTGAAGGGGAGTAGGCCTGAAGGGCTGTGCATGAGGGGGGCTGGGGAGGGCCGAACTGGGAGTGAGCCTGAAGGGCAGCACAAGGGCCAGCCCCATGAGTAGTTGATTGTGGGGATGATGAGAACACCCCAGGGTGGGGCGTGGTGTAGAGGCCCTAGTGTGGGCATAGTCCCATGCGTGGGGAAGAAGCCAAGGCATTTTGTGGATGCCCGAGGCTGTATTTTAGGCCAGAGGCTGAGTTGGGGGGAGAGGGAAGGGAGGCTCAACCAAAGAGTCAGGGGCAAGTCCTGACCCTGGTAAGTCTTCTACCAGAAGGAGGCCAAGTGTGGGTCGAAAGAAAGACCTAAAGGGACAGCACAATGACCTGTTGCTCCAGGGAGGAAGTGAGGGTCCCTGTGAGACCCAGGAGCACCAGTTGTGGTGTAAGGGAACATCGTGTGTGTGCGTGTGCGTGCGTGTGTGCGTGCGTGCGTGCGTGCGTGCGTGCGTGTCATCTGCAAGGTTTGGGATGCAGTACAGGGATGGATGGAGCTGCATACATAGGCCCAGAAGAACACGGCCGCCAAAGGGCAGCCTCCCGCCTAATGAAGACAACAATTATTAAACAACAAGGTGTGGCAGGATAGAGAGGTGGGTGGTTAGCCCAGAAACAGGTGGGCAGGCCAACTTCTGACTGGCCTCGGGAAGGCCCCGTTACACCTACCCTTTTCCTCTAATTTCTGCATGAAGAGCAAAGCTGTTTGGCTACAGCTTCTTTCCTGAAATCATTGGCAGAGAAGTTAAATGTTACATCCCTCTTCATTCACCAAGACAGACTGAAGCACAAGCAAAGTCTGCAGCTGTTTGTACTTAATTCTCATTATGGAGGAATGAAAAATATATTTTATGTAACTACAAATGGTGTGTGTGCCTTCACCTCTTGGCAGGCTGTAAAGCAAGCTTTGCTGATTATAAAGGTTGACCATCCCTGTAACAGAATATGGCACAAAAGAAAATGAACAAAAAAGCAGCATTCATTGAGTTCACAGAAGATACAATACTGTGATTCATTATTCATACTTACAACTAAAAGCAAAACAGCCTATTTGGTAATGAATGCTAAATGAATTGCAGTTATGAGTAATGATGTTTAATACTGAAGATAGAGTATATACCAATTTTATCTGTTAGTTCTTATCTGCAAGGCAAAAGCTTGCTCCAGATCACTATATTGAAAAGACGTAATATTAAGTGACTGGCTTGGTGTATGACAAACTACTGAAGTTACAGATTATAATTCAACAGACACAAATAAGGTTGGCTACTGGCTTGGCATATGACAAAACTTCACAAGTAGACTAAGGTTCCAATCATTACAATTATATGACAGCAGTTGCAGGGGCTGGAGACTGTTATACACATTCAGTTCCCTGAAATGTATCCATCTGAAGGCAGTCAGGATATATCTTTAGCTTTTTATTTATTTATTTTGCTCCCCATTTATATTTTCATTTATTTTAACTATTTAAAGTAAGTATCAAAAGATGATGTTGTAACTAGAATTTTGAGGAACACACAGTATTGCCAAAACTAATGATTTTGTCATGAGTCTTGTAATTTTTAGTGCCTTACTACAGGGGTCAGGTCTGCAGACAAGTACAGTAAAATCTCTGTTATCCAGCACGAGTAGGGAATGGGGGATGCCAGGTTTCTAAAACTTCTGTTTCCCTGAGGCTGGCAGTATTCAGCCAGAGGTGGAGCAGGGGGAGGGAGGGGAATTGGTGGTGGCTGCACGCAGAGCAGCTGCAGTGCAGGGTGGTGGGTGGCGGCTGCTGCAGTGTGCAAAATTCCACCCCCCCGTGCCAGAAATTCCAGTTAATTGAGTGTTCCGGTTACTCAAATGCCAGATAACAGGGATTTTACTGTAATTACATGAGAAAACTTACAAAAGTAAGTTTTCTAACTTTTGTAAGTTTCCTATCAGCCCTCATGGTTGCACTCAAAAGGGTCAGAAAGCAAATCAAAAAAAGAAATCAAAATCGTTATTTTTAGATTTATTTTAGGGGATTTTTTTATGACAGACTCCTGATTTTTTGAAAGCTGGATTATGGAAACACTGCTGGAACCAACATCCAACTTCTGCAGGACCCATGGACACTGAAAATGCCTGTTTCATTTATAAACCCATATTTAAAAACCTCCATTTTGAGAACAATCCTAGTTCAGTAGAAGGAAGACTGGATTATCTAAAAAAGGCCTTTTCCAATCTCATTTTTATAGATCTATTACATGTTTTCAGTAAATAAGAATTCTAGTTTTGATTCACTCTCTATAATATTTAGGATCTTCTCATACTTAAAAATATCTGGTAAAAACTTTGTTGAAAATGCAAATAAAATAATTAAAAAAGAAGTACACATTCCGAGACATGCAGACATGCTGAAATAGCTACATTCTCTCGGATGCTGGATCATAAGTCCTAACCTAGAGAAGTAAACTCTTTTCCTGTGTTAAGTATCGCTTGCATACGTCTTGACAACAGATGTTAACGTGTTTTTAAACTTTTTAACAAGTGTAGACTTGGAGGGCTGGGCATTTTAAAAGTAACTGTATGTAAAATCTTCTGTTAAAGGAAGTCCTACTTTTTTTCCTCATTACTCCCCACCTTATCAAGTCTACTGTCTTCCTCTTAATATATATAAGAGGAAGGAAATAAAAGATAGAGGTGAGGCATCTTTAGAATAGTATTATATCTCATTTTACACTTCTCTTATTCATTCATTTGGGTCTAGTGAAGCCTATTCTAGAGCTCTGCTGAGAGAGGTGGTGATGCTTCATAGAGGATTTCTATTTTTCCTTCAAGGAAGAAAACCAAAACATTTTAAAATTCTCTATGAGAATTTCCATGTCCAGTTTTGGGAAACCCACTTCAAGAAACATGAGGCTGAATTAGAAAGAGTCCCTCAGAGTGAAGTCAAAATGATTAGTGGTCTAAGAAATATGACTTATGAGGAAAAGTTGGAAGAACTGGGATTATTTATTCAGAAGAACAGGAGACTGAGGGAAGATTTGATAATATTTTTCAAATACATGAAGCGTGGCTACAGAGAGGGTGGTGATGAACACTTCTCTCTGGCCACAGGGAGAAGGCAAGGAGTAATGGTCTTAAACTGCAGGATGGGGAATTCAGGTTGGAAGCCCAGGCTATCCAGCAGCCAAGCAGGTGAGATGGTTGGCAGGCTCCCAAAACCTCACTGGGTTATAAGAGAACATGAGTGAAACAGGACTAATACTGTCAAGTCTGAGATAGTATTTCACGTGCATTTTTCTGATCAAACCTAGTTTCAAGTCCTGGGACACATGTGATTAAGTCACATGGGTCCTAAAATTTCCCATGTGACAACAGGTTTGTAATGGATATGGCCTGCTAGATTCTTGCATTTGGATATTCCCCCTAACGTTAATTGGGTCACTCAAGTTAGTAAATTTTCTAGAATCCAGGTTTTGAATTACATATGCGCACTTGGTCTCTGGCATCAAGGAGTGCAGTTATCACCAAACAATGATATATCCTGTTACGTGCTGTTCATTTCATTAATGCACAATGTTTCCTGATCTCATATCTTGATGAAAAAAATATATTGTAAATGTTTTAAAAAACCAGACATGAAACTTTTTCATATTAGACTTCTATCAGACTTTTTTTTTTTTTTTAAAAACTGGAATACTTACAGTAAGATTTCCATACAGGTGGTCTGTATTCATCAGTATCTGAAAGAATAATGAAACTTATCTAAATATAGGTTTAATAATGTTCTAGAAGTTAAAAACAGTATTTGTATTCTTTTATAAGAGGTACAAGCTCCAATTAGCAAAAGTTATCAGATGCCAACAGTAACAATGCCTTACTGATTTGCCTCCAACAGGACACCTAACAACCCCTAAATTTAATGATCACTTGCTTTGGCATTTGTCACTAAAATAAACTGCTTTTCTAACTTACTGTCTTTTGACTTGCTGACAATTCATCAGGAGCTGTAAAATACCACAGCTGACAAAAGAGGACCAGATTTTGGCCTCCACTGTAGCTGTATCGTGGCAGATCACTGAACCATCTGTTCCTACCATTATTCCCTAAATATGATTCCTGCTCCTATCAAGTACCAAAGTGTCTCCTGCAAGAAGTTGAGTTCATCTCCCTTGGAAGTGGATGCCAGTTACTGCCACTCTGTATGTTATAGGATATGACTGTTGTGAATTTAGCCAACCATGGTTGGGATTAGATAGCCAGCTTCTGCTATATCCCAGGCTCTAGTAGGCAAATACCTGCTGGCACCAATACTGTCTAATGCATCAAAACATATCCGTAAGCTTTCACCTGTCACAAAGACGTAGAGATATGACTATATTTAAGACCTATTCTATGAACCTTGTACTGTCATATATCCGTCCTAGGGCATCCTTTATCCATATTTTTAGAAAGTTCACTGCTAAAGTTAAGTTGTACAAATCTTGGTTTAGCATTCCCTTAAAGTATGAAACTTTCTTCCCTGCATATGCGCCGTAGCATTATTCCATCTCTCCTCATCCACTGACATTTCAAAAGGTTTCTAATTCAGGGACATTTTGTTTTTGCTGTTGTCAGCTATGCCCAGTAATTGTTCCACCTTAACCCCTCCATCATGTAATTTTATTTAGCTTTTTACAGTATATTTTGAGACATTTTAATTATTTCACATGATATTGTAATTGTTTATCTAGTGCCTTAAGTGCCTTCATATTAAAGCCCTTTATAAATATAATAATTACTAACAAATGATCATAGGTGTAAAATAAATGGCTCCCCAAAATTCCATCATCAAAATCCTCAAGAGGTCACACAGATGTGCCACCAACTCCTGGTTGTCTGCCAAGTGCCTTGCAACTGGAGGGAGGTCTTCAGCTGTCCACCCGATACTCTATCAGTGAAAGAAAATCAACAGCAGCAGATGCAGAAATCGTTATTCATTGCTACTTTGATTTTTTTTATATTTTAATTTAAAGTAGTGTTAGGAGATTCATTCCAGAAGCACTGGAATTTGATCCCTCAGTGCTGTTCTGATGTCACGTGAAAAAAGGCAAAACCTGTGTGTAAAAATAACAGTTTTATATTCCCTGCTGAATATTATTACACTATTAGCTGTTTTTTTCTTCTGCTTATTGACGCTTTAAAAGCAATGTATGCATTGGTTTGATTTACAAATAAATGACTTAAATAAAGGACAACATCTATATTATTTGTAAATTATGAGCTGACTCTTATGAAAATAAATGGATCTTGGCAATCTAACCTCTTTGTGATTGCACCATGGCTATATTCTAATTGCAACAAAGGGCAGTATGATTATAAAATTAAGCAGCAATATTCTTCCCAAACCAAAAAACAAAACAAAACAACCCCCACCCCTCAAAAAACCCCAGCTTGATAAAGTCAAACAAGAACCATGGAAACTTTCATATAGCAAACATTTATAATTCAGAAACTGGAAGGAATGATTTATGTTATGCAGCTGTGCACAAGTATTTTGTTTAAAAGTCTGTCTGCATGTTTTACTGCCTTAACGCTGTCAGAATGCCCTGAGGCCATTCCACATTAGGGAATAAAAAAAACAAAGGTTATTTCTATTGTAATTTTAAAAAATGTTATCTGATATAAAATACTATAGAGCAAGCACAGGGCAACGATGATAGTGAGGCAGAGTTTTAAGTGTTCATTTGAGTCTGTAAATACAGTTACTGTTATTATTTGATATAAACTACTTTGCTACAAAAAGGAAAAAAAATGTCCAAACATTATGTGGAAGTATTAGCATCCATTTAAAAAAAACCTGATTGATATGATCCTATTTTTAAAAAAATATTTAGTATTTTTGGATGCGTTAACATTTTGATGCTTTTCTTTAAGGTTTTCATTTGAGAATCCAAAAATTAAAGCTAGAATCGCTAACTGCTTTGGAAATTTAGGCCAGATGCAAACATAAAGAAAATAAAAGGTGCTGCAAAACTGAATCCAAATTACAGGTTCCCATTAACATAGCAGTACTTTCTAGCCATCACTATAACCTCCCACTAAATTTTACTGCAGCTCCACTCTGTGTAATATCTGAGGTCTACCAAATGGTTTCTTGATAAACTGGTAACTTATGCATCTTTTTTTTCCTCTACTCTATTTTCTAGTTAAATTTATATCCAGTTCATCTGAACATTGATTTTCTAAAGGTTTGACAATACTGCAGAATATGCATGTAAAAAGCTTAGTGCTATGAATGCTTACTACTGCACAAATTCAAACTGAAAACAATAGGATTCTAGTGCTATATTCACTAGTAAGTTGTGAATAAGTTTTTCAGAATTGTGAATAATAAGTTTGTGAATAACAGGTTTTTCAGAATTGTGCTTATAGCGTCTTAGCTGGATTAGCCTGACAGAGTATTTAGTTACTGTACCTTTAAAAACAGAAATGTCTCAGAAATAGGTTACCAATATCCCTTCTCCCCCAAGCAGTGATCACTTTTAAAGACTACAGAATTTTGCTGTGTTCAGAAACAAGAAAGATAAAAACACTGGCAGGTGGGTGTGCAAAAGTACTTCTTGAAATATGATAATGGGGTTTTGGAAAATACCTATCCTAAAGCCACAATGAAATCCAATAACTTGCCAGCCTGAACCAGATCAGTAAGAAACAGATGCTTTTTCAATAGTTGACCTAACCTTTTAAGCTTCTAAAAATACCTGTCAGATATATCTATACAGTTAGATTACATACAGCAAAAAAACTCTTACAGTGATATAGCACTTTTAATCTGAGACCCAAAGCAATTTACAATACAAGAGGAAAATACTGTAGGATACTTCCGTGTTAAAAGTATGAACAGAATGAGGATGAGCTGTCCACAGTAGCTTACTGCTACACTGGTCCAAGAGCAGAATCAGACCTGCGCTGAAGATGAGTGCCACACCACAGACCCAGAGAACTGCCTGTGCCAGGAGAGAGAAGTCTCTGCTCCACCCATCAGATCAAAAGAAAGCACAATTTCCACACTCAGTTCCATTGTGAACATATGGCAGTTAAAAAGACATCAGACTCCAGCCATTCACAGAGACAATGGAAGTAACAAACTTAACAGGTCATGCCTCAAAATCCTACACTTTCCCTTCAGCAGGCAAGGGAATTTATGTCTTGGGGTCAACAGACAAAATTTCACCCTTCTTTAGCCTCCACTTTGTTTTACTTATAAACAGCACTTCTTTTTCTCATTTGCAACTCCTGAAATTTCCACTATCACACCTGAGCCCCATCCATACCCAACACTATCTGCAAGCTGTGCTCTCCATCTTAGGCCAGGTACAGATGTTACACTTCTACTGGTATAACTGATTGGAAACCAGTATATACCTATAATAGAAGTTTTGCACACAAAACTGATCTATACCCAAAACAGAAGTTCAGCACACAGACTAGTTTAAAAATGGCAAAACCCAGGCTAAGGTTTGCCTACCCCACAAAAGGGCAAATATATGTGTTCTGTTTCCTAATGATCTAAACTATGCAGCTTACAGAAAACCATGCAACTTAAATCAATTTTGCCTCAGGCTTTTTGAATGTCTGTACCTAGCCTTAGCCTCATCTCAGTTCCACCACAAACTGTCTACCCATCACTCCATCTGCTCAGCACATAAATGCCACATTGTGTTATGTCTTCTTGCACATCCCTCAGTATCTGACTCAACTGACTCTCAAGCCCCTTCGGAGCCTGGCTGTAGTCTCCTTGCATCTCCCCTTTGCTCCAATAGGGGCACAGACCGCATTATCTGCAAGGATGGAAGAAAGGAGCATGAGAAAATAACTTTACATGTGGCCTACTTGGCTTGAGGAACATTTTGTGTTCAGAAAAGGGAATCATTTCATAAAGGGATGGATTTTAGGAAGGCAAAAACAATACAGCTCATCCTCAGAATGACGGCAACTTAGGAATGATAAACTGACACTGATAGTAAGAAAACAAACAAGCACTGACAAAATGGAGTCCTTTTTAGAGGCAGCCATTTACAAGAATTCAGATACAGATTGCAAGAGAATATTTTAGCTGTTTCCTAGACACATAACTAATTCTGACATTCAAATATAGTATTTCCTTTACAATTTTCCTTTTTTCTTTTCAATGCCACCTTTCCTTTATCTCCCTTACATAAAACTAGTTTAGCTTTAACACTTGCAAACTGAACACTTAAACTATATATATCTCAAAGCTGCTATCATTGCCTCAAACTGTTTAGACTGCTTATCTCTGTGTATTCCTTTTATAGAAAGAATAAAATATTCATTTATGTAGTTAGCAGAAAGAAACAAAACCATTTCACACCTCCCTACTGACAGTCAGCAGGCTCTGGGGTGGAACAGCAGCTGCTTAACCATGCACAACAGCAGCACCACCCGAGACCTGTGCATGAGGTGCTGTGGGGTTTCCTATAGCAAATTCCATTTGACTTTTCTTTTAATACAGGTCATCTCCAACAGCACTGTGCTCTGTAACACAATGCTGGGGATGGCTTTAAAAGAAATAATGCTACTTATTGACTTGCCAGCATGTTTCTCCAAAACCGGTTCTTTGGCAATATCATATCTAAACAAAGACAGGACCTCCTCACTGGCTAACCTTGCAGATATCCAGATGGGCCAAAGCGAAAATAGTTAGGAAAAGAATCAAATGAAGATAAGCTTCTTACAACTT